CATTTCAACCATAGTTTTATTTTTAAATGAATAATTGAGGTCAGAATAATTATATAACTGAAAAAATATATTTAAATTTGCTCGATTGAAAAAATACCCAAACTCAGGGTAAATTTTCTTGCTGTGTAAATTGATCTGCAAAAAATATACTGTGAAATTTTTCTTTTTTTAAATATTTTTGCTGTATTTCTGTTCTGAGGAGATAAAAAGTGATTTTTTAAGGGTAGTGCTTGAGCTCATGCAGTAATTATGTGAAGTTGTGCAGGTTCTTAATGAAAATCTGAACCTGGGCCGCAGTTTTTGTCTCTGTGCCACCAAACCGCACGTCATGGCGGATCTCAGTGCCAACCTGGAAACCGCACAGTAAAAGACGTGAAATTAAAGCAGAGCATAGCGCTAACGGGGGCTAATCACGACCCCCGCTTGTTATTTGATAATGTCTGGCCTGCAGCTCATTCTGCACTTCAAACGCAGATCCTTTTGTGCTGGCTTGAGTTCGACGTTGGAGCTGGCAGCTGGAAACCGGCTCGGCTGTGGTTTTTTCTTTTTTTTTTGTTTTGGGGGGAGGCCATCGTTAGCATCACATAAAAAAGCCTTTAGCATGTTTGTTTAAGGTTCACAATCAAATAAACAACCTGGACTCAGACTAGCACATATTAGTGATGATGCATGTTCTGGTCTGCGTGACCCGGCGCTCGGTCCCCTTGTTCCCAGCTCCGGCCCGCATGGCTCCATACCATTTAAAGCTTTATGCTGATTTATTACCTGTTATGCCCATGTACAGTGCTTTTCTTTCTTCCACCGCAACATGTGGTTCTGACTACGACTGTTTTCCAAAGAGTCGAACGGATTGAGTGGATAACACCAGCATTTTTGGAAAATCCTCAAACTTTTTATCCTTGTTTATGGAGCTGTGGTCGTATCCAGTCTTGCTTGGAGACGAACTGTATTTAAAAAGGTCAGTTTTGGTTATGATGGCATTCAGCCTCAATGATTCCAACAAATTGCAGTGAAATAAGATTTTTATCTCTTTGTGTGGATTGTAAAGTTTTTGACTGATTTGATCAAGATCGTGTAAAGGTCTGAAAATATTTTCTGTTTGTAAAGTTAAAGTCAAAATTTAACAACAATAATTTGGGATTTTTTTATCTGTTAAAGCAAAAAACAACAAGCTTATGTTATTGGTTAATTTATATATGAAATTTCCCAAACTAAATATTTAGTTTACAAACTAACTGTCTGTTAACAGCCAGTGAATTTGCCTGTTAGCTTGCTAAATATACTGATTGGGGCAAAAATATTAAGATTCCAGACTCAATATTTAGCTTTCTAACTAAATAAAAAGCTGGATACGACCACAGCTCCATAAACAGGGATAAAAAGTTTGAGGATTTTCCAAACATTTAGTCTTAGTTCTGGCTCCTCTCTTTAATGTGTTTAACCACTTTTAAAAAAAAATAAAGAAAGTACTACTACTGTTTGTGCTCCCAGTCAGAGTAGCAGAAACTCTGTCGTTTAAAGAAAACTGGACCTTAAAGACAATCGTCCAGTTTGTGGTCCTGCAGATAATCTCATCTTTTCTGATCATCCATGGAGTTCAGCTGAACAAAACAGAAACCAGAGCCACTTTCTTTCTCATTTAGCTCCATAAAAGTCCTTGTATGTTTGCCTGTGAGTTTGGCTTGAGGTTTGGTCACAGCGCCACCAGCTGGGCGTTTTCCAACTTTCTGCCTGAAACAGATAGTCGCTGAGGAGCTTTACAATGTGCATGTTTGGTTTCCTGAAGCATGCATCAAATTGCAAAAACAAGACTGTGTTTACTTCACTGTTGCATGTAAAACTGGGATTTCTTCTTTTTACTGCTGTGGGTTGGAATAAATTTAAATGCGACTGATGGAAAAACCAATAATCGGGTATTTAAGATGCCAAAAAGACCCAAAACAGAGAGAGCTCTTAATCACTGCAGCTGGATACAACAGATAGATATAAAACATTTGCAAAGATTCATAGTTTTCAGGAATATCCTGGTTTTACTCTCATGCTGGGGAGGTTTAAATTTTAAGGGTTGAGTTGGACTTCACTGTAGAAAGTTAAAAACATTCACAAAATAGTTTACTTTATCACACAGTACTGATCTGCTGGTCCTTTTTTTTAGGTTTGACAAAATTATTGGTTAAATTTTAGGATCTTTTAGAGAATTTACTGGAATGTGAAATGGAAATGTTGACCTTTTCCAAACGCCTTTTTCCAAACAATTACATAGAGAGTCATGAAGGTTGGGAAACACTGAACACATTTTTGTTTCCCAGAACTGTTTAGTAAATAAACTTCAGATTTATGTCAGAAAAGGGTAGAAATAATGATATTAACCATCTCTGTCTCAGAAGGAATGGGTGTAAAATGAAATGCTGATACAAACTATTTTTCTACTAGCTGGATTTTCATTGTAAAACTGCACCACTGGTCATGATTCCAATTTGTACAATTTCACACAAATTCACACGAGTCACATGATCAACTACCTGATATTACTACTGGCAGAAACGACAAAGAAGACAACAGGAAGTGGTAGAAGTTTGATATTGAAGTTTTCGTGAATAACAAATTTATTGTTATTCCATTCTTAAATAATGGAAACACCATAATTCCAAAAAAATGGAAATGCAGCTACTATCAAATCTGCGAACTAGAATACATTGTAGATGCAGAAATCCAGCCAGGTGAGTATTTTATCGAAAAAAGCACAAGAACTGAGGTATTTTAAAATTCAGCTGCGTCTCTTTGTATGTAAGATAAATAAATGTTATTCATAATTTAATCCACACTTTAAAGACAAAATTTAAATGCAAAAAGATTGTCCCGGAAACTCAAACAATGACGAAGAACATGATGAGAGAAGACATGAAGAGTCATGAAAGCTCCATGCTAGGCGATCGTAACAAAGAGCGGCGTCTGGTTGGACAAACTCCTCATCAGCAGCAGCACCAATCTGCGACCAATTAAACTTCACCAGGAATCAGTGCAGCACAAAATCAGGTCAGGGGAAAAGATTTGACACTTTCTGCTTCCTTTGCATCCTGTTCTCAAAAAAACCTTCAAAATGCTCTGACTTCTGCAGTAAATCTGATTCTTTTTAAACTGCAGCCAAACGAGGTGAAGCCAGAGCAGCAGCTTCTCCATCCAAGCCGGACCCGAATCATCACACCTGATCTGATACATGAGTTATGATGTTAAAATGTGAAAATATGTAGCAGAGTGATCTGGAGTCCCTATGCTGTAAAAGCATCGTATAATCCGATCTCTGCAGCCAACCATCAAAGCAGCGATACATCACCCAGAATATTTACCTGACACTCGACCTGGAGGACTCTTCTTCTTCTTCTTCTGGCCAAATGATGGACGAGTTCCCAAAAATCCTGCGGGTGGCGGACCTGGACCGCCATCTGAGGATGGAGAACACCTGAGACGCATCAGCAGAGCCAGAAAACGTTTTTCCTCCCGATGTTTGAAGAATCACTGGAGGAAAAACAAGTTTACCATTTTATTTATTTATAAAACAGGATCATGTGAAGCCTTATTAAAATAAACTCCTCTTGTTATGGACTACTGTTTACATCTGGAAATTTTGCGCATGCACTCAACGCTGGAAGGCGAAAAGGCGATTCTTTGCTTCTCATCCATAGCCGCACTGCTGCGGTGGAGCAAAACGTTAACTAAATGAAAACCTGGAGATGCAGGTATTATTAATTTAGTACTTTGTGCCACAGCAAAGGGGAAAATAAAGCAGAAAAACTGTTGAACTCAAAAACCACTTTTTTCTGTCTGTCGGCTACGCTACACACAGACTCGTTGCCATAGCAACTGACAACAACGCTACTTTATGTTTCAGGATTCAACACCAAAAACCATGCAAACATTTCTCACACTGTTTATTTTGCTATTATTGAAAAATGATTGCTTGCTGTGGTAGACTAGCTACCGCGGCTATTAGCTAAGATAACACAGATTAGCTAAGCTAACAGCGGTGATTAGCCGCTTATTAGATTAGCTGCTCTACTGATGATGTGTCAGAGTTGGTGTGTGGGTCAGCTGTTTTTTATTTTTTAACTGAACCGAAACACAACGAATTCCACATCACATCTACATGCTAAGGTTGTCACAGTCAAGCTAGCATAACTCGCATACTTCCCTCTCCCTCACTATTTTTTCCATAATTAAAACTTTTCCTGACGTGTTATCTAGATGTTATAGTGTTGACAATTAGTAGCAAAGCACTGCGTCCCGTTTTCTTTTATAGATCACACATATATTTTAGATTTAGGACATTATATTGACAACTTGACAGCTAATGCTAGTCATTGCAGGCGAGCAGCTTTTTGCCCTCCAGCAGGGAGATGGTGTGGGATCTGGCACACATAACGTTACCCTTTAACAGGTCTACAGATCGTTTTTGACTTGTGGTCAAAGGCCCAACAAAATTATTTCCTGAGCTATAAATGGATCCCGAGCCACACATTAGACCGCCCTGATTTACAGAAAAGGATCATGAAATGTTCTGAAATATAGAGAAATTCATAACTTTTAAGACTCAGCTAATACAAATCAGTCAATTAAGTTTATTTGTAGAGCATATTTACAACAGCTCAAAATGCTTTACATCATAAAAACACAAAAATAAAGTCATAAAAACGTCTTACAGCCACCAATTAAAAAACCAGAAACAAATATTACATTTGGACTAGTGTTATCATGAAAATAATAAATATCTTGATAAATGTTTCATTTATTATGGCTCAACTATAAACAGGTGGATTCTATCTATCTATCTATCTATCTATCTGTGATGCTAACAATGCTAACGATGCTACCAACAGATCAAACGCGGTTCACCGGAGGTGAAACGATGGGAACCGCAGAGAGAAAAGATAGAAATATTTGACCTTCATAGTTTTCATGTCCCATTTTTCTCCTCCGCCGTTTGTCTTCCTCTCGCCTGTCAGAAAAAAGACGGAATAAAAAAGCAGGACTTGGCAGAAAGAGGGAGAGAAAACGACTGCGGCTCCTCGCCAGCGTCTCGGCTAACGCAACAACAGACACCATCAGCGGCGGCGCCTGAACCGTTTCCAGCTCCATGTTGGCCCGCAGAACCAGAACCACGGAGGACAAAAATAACCTGAACCGACTGTTCAGTTTATCCCCATGATGTGTGAATAAAATGTGTTTTCCAAACATTAAATCAAAGTAGGATTTGAAAAGTCACTTTCTACTCGAGCTGCACTGATCTGAATTTACCTCTGATTCGCTTTTTAAGTCAATTAATCAAATTCCATCGTTGTCAACTTTATTGCAATCATCATTCAACTAAAAAACCCAACCTGGGTTAGATTACATGAAAAATAAATATTTGGATAAAAGTGTTTAACTGAATTATTATCCACTTGATTTGGGAAAAATGGTCAAGTGGCAAATCTCAGGTTGTGATTATATTATTGCTTTGGGTGCTAAAATGGCCTAGTCAAAGTCCAAATTTCAACCTTATTTTCAGTCTTATTTGAAGACAAAAGTAAAACTGAAAATAAGAATAATAAAAAATAAAAAAAATCGAAGTTAGCGCCTTATATTTATCACTGAAGCCAGATTGGAGATTAGATTCAGCCTGAGAAATGATGCGTTTAAAGCAGTCGGAAAACTGGAACGCGGATCTGGGAATAACAGAGATTACTGTCATGAAGTTAACAAGATTTACTGACGAATAGCGTTCCCCCCCCACCCCCAGAGCAGCCATGTTGGATGTTTTAGGAATGAAACTTAAAACTTCAGGAGGTTTCTCAGACGTTTTTATCTAACTTTGAACTTGTAAATATAAAAATATATTGGAGAAAAAATGGGCAAAAGTGCAAATAGTCTCTTTTTTGGGCATAGAAAAATTTAAATTGAATAATTTTTATGAGTTTAAAATGGACCAAAAATATTTCCTGCTGCACTATTTCCCACAAATCCACCAGTAAGCCAGTAAAATATCTGCAGGACTCCAGTTGGATTATCTTCAAAGGTTTTTATTTTGTAGTTTTGGTTTATTTACTCTAAATTTGGCCAAACATGAAAGAAAGGAGTTTTTCTGGTGCATCTTAATGGCTGATAATAATAAACACTGCATGTTTAGTCCAAACTATCTCGCAGTTTATTCGTTTGTCAGTTTGTGTGTAATATAATTGAGCTGTATACATGATGTAATATTTTGACCCAGGATGATTTATCTGATATTGCACAAGTAAAGCTTGCATGACAACATGTGAGTTTTCTTCCTTTTTTTCTCCAGAGCGAATAAAATCTCTTCTTTTTCCCCCCCACCAAATAAATATTTATCACTTTTTTAAGAGACGAAATGGGAAATTTTTCCACAACATGGATGTGTCGCTCTGTAAATGTGTATTTTTATATTATCACAGATTATTCTGGGTTCAGATGTGCAAAAGCTTTAAAAAAAAATCATGAAAAATATGCCAATTTCAGACAATTTGATTAATTTCACAAAAACTGCAATTTCATAACTTTTCTTCTCATGCATGTTTCTTTGAACATGTAAGATTTTTGCTTTTGTTTGTTTTATTTTCTGATGACCACGAAATAATCTGACAAGATTAAAACAAGCTGCTATTGTTTTAAACATATGGGATGGTGTGAGTTCTTTCTCAGTCATTTCATTGCTGGCCAACAGGGGGCGCAGTTGGTAGCGCTGTTGCCTGGCAGCAAGTTTCTGATTATTTTCTGTTGCCTGATAACTGCTGGAGAAAAACATGCGCCATGTGTTGCAGTGTGTTTTGGTAATATCACAGAATAACAGTATTGTTAGTTGTACGCCATTTTAGATTAAAAAAGTATAACATTTATTTTTCTTCAAAAAAAGAAAAAAGAAAGAAATTAGAAATTTTGAGATTAATCTCAGAAATTGTCCAGAAAAAACTCCAAGTCAAAAATGTCTGCCAAGAAACTCAGGAAATTTCTAGAAGTTCTACTAGAAATGTATATAAAAACAAGTTTTTTTCTACACTTTTTGCTGATTAATTTCAAAATTTCAGATTTTTTTTCTTGCATATTCCCACTATTTGTAGCTCAACAAATTCAAAAATTTTCTAGAAAATTTCTAAAATTAATCTAAAAAAAATTTTAATACTTTTTTGTCTCAAATTTTTGACTTTTGGAGCTCAGCAATTGCCAAAGTTTTACTGGTAATTTTTTTTAGATTTATGTCAAAAATTCTGTTTTTCTCGTTGAATATTTTCGACTTTTGAAACTTTGAACTTATCACAAATTGTCAACTTTCAGAGCTCAGAAATTTTCACGTTTTTTCTAGATATTTTTTTGAGATTAGTCTGAAAATTTCTGAGCTTTTTGGCATAAATGTTTTCATTTTTTCTATCTACAGTAACTGTAAAACGCCATCGTAGTTCTGAGATTCAGAAACACCAGTTGATTAAATATTCACCAAACCTTAAATTTATTCACCCAGAAAATAAATTAAATGATCAAGGACAGACGAGGAGAACTTGAAAGTCATCTTTTATTGCACGATAAAAGATCACACATACCATGTTTTGACTTGTCAGATTGGTCCACATGGGAATATAGAGCGCTATAGATAACAATAAGAAAGAAAAGTAACCAAATGAGATAAAAACCCCATGAAGTCCAGATGATTTATGTTTTCTAGCTATGATGGGTTTGCAGCGTCAGGGTCAGACGCTTCCTTTGACCTTTACATTGCACTTTGTTCAGCAACGCCATCCTGACTGAGCGGTGAGTTTATTCAGACACCAAACTGCATTTGAAACTGTATTCATCACCGACTGAGGTTTTATCGATCCAAGGCCTTAAGGTAGACCTCTAAAGAATAAAACAGGCACAATAAATGGATAAAACTTTCAGATTTGATGTTTTAAAGATAAAATTTACATGGGAAAATAAAACAAATCAAAACTGGGAGAAGATTCTGGTCTCTGCTGTGAATCTGGTAGAAAACAAGAACCTGACCCAAGATTTTTATCTGAATATTTAAAAATAACGAAGAATATTTAAAGGTGAGCTGGACTAAATCTATTTTCTCAATGTGAGGTTTTCCAGATGTTATCCTTTTAAGCCGAAACACGAATAAAAGCTGCAAAAATTTAAAAAGCGAACTCAAAACGAAAGCTGAAGGATGGATGAGGAAACGCACAACCTACCTTCTCATGAATTTAAAATCGTATTTTAGTTGATTCTGCAGCCAGTTTTTTCTTCTGGGTCTGAATAATCTTTGTACGACGGAGTTTAAAGCCAAAATAAGAAAAAATAAAATCTAAAATTACGAGAATAAAGTCAAAATAAAGCGAGAAAAGTCGTGAAATTACAAGAATAAAGTAATAATCAAGTTTATTTGTATAGCAAAGTCGAAATAAAACAAAATTTCTTTATTCTCATGTGAGTTTATTCTCATAATTTTATGGGTTTTTTATTATTATTTTCTTAGGATGGTGCTAATGCTCCGTCGCATCTCTCTGTATATTTATTATTTTCAGCCACCTTGGTGCCTAATGCGAACAAGTATTGAGAGCATAAAGGAAAAAAACCCAGCTGGACATTTCCAGCTTCCAGCCTGAGATTATCTGTCAGGCGACAGAAACGCAGATCCGTTTAATTTCCATGTGAACCAAAATGCTTCTGTATTTCAGGGTAACAAAAACAGCCATCAATCAGTCGTGAGACAACAATGTAAAGACAAGAACTGTACAATAAATACATCATCTCTGATCAGAGTTTTACACGTTGAGGTGACCTCCATGAAAAAATAAACACTGTTGACAGAAAGCACGTGGTTGCCACGAGTCCGTTTCAAGTCTTCACGCGAGAACAGGAAGTGATGCGCAGCCGCAGCTTCATCTTCTTTTAAAAAATGAAATGAACAGATTAGATGAAACAGAAGAAAACAGAAGGCATCGTGCAGCTAAGGAATGCAGTGAGGGTCAAACTACCGACTTAACAGATGCTACTTCATGTTCCTGTGCGGTTTTCCTGCCGATGTCTGAATTTCAGAGTTGAATTTAACCTAAAAGTGCGCTTTTAATTTAAAATGTGGTTATGCAGTGTAGCTCTGAGTAGTCAGTATCTTAACTGCAGCAAATTCAAATTGAAAAATACTTTACTTATCCTAAATGGAAACTAAGTGCTGTTGTAACTCATACAAATTCAAATGCATCAAAGTTTATATTATAGATGGCGATGGCTATCTACAAAAGATTTCCTGTAGCAGTCTGATACAGCAAATTTGAAGAAGCCTCTGACTGAAGAAACTGTTTTCTGAAGAGGATGTTCAGAGTTCTTCTGGAAACATGTAAACATATGATCCTAGCTTAAAGAATCAGTTAAGAGTAGGTATTATAAAGAAAAACTTGTATATACGCGTTTCACATCAGTCAACATTGATAATTACTGATCAGGTTTTTTTGTTGTCCGTCTTAAATATCTGAAATACTGCCGAATTGGCAGTGTGAGCTTTCCTGTTTTATCCCATTTTCATTCTACTCCATTGATTTTTATTTTTAAGCAGTTAAGAAGCAAAACCTTAAAGTGCTGCAGCACCAGTTACTCAACAAGTTGTTGCTAGGTAACCAAAGAGTGAGTGAGTTGCTAAGTAACCAAAGAGTGAGTGAGTTAATTGATTCCACCAACCTAGCTGATCTATTGATATTGATCATGTGTTTATTGCAATACATTTTATTTATTGTCCAGCCCTAGAAGTAAATGTCAGAATTTATCGCATTGTTTACCATTTATCATGAAAAACTTTGTCATAATAATTTTTATTTATTTTAACATTAAATGTCAGTTACTTAAAAAAATTATTTAAAATGTTTTTACCATTTTCTTCTGGGGCTTTTTTTCACAAGAGCATCAGTATATCTGTACATTTGAAAATATTGTTTGTTTTTTAAACCCAGTTTAGATACACTTATTCTTTTCTCCTGGTGAAAAAAAGAGTTTAGATATAAAAATAGTGAAAAAGAACAAACAACTGGCAAATGCAACTCACACATTTATGCTAGATTAGCTTAAATGAATATATTAAATGGATTTGGTTGTCATGCCAGGTTTGCCAGGGGAAATAAATCATGTTTTACTTTTAAGTTGTTTCAGATGGTAAAGTAGATGACTTTATGAATATATTGCTCTTTCTCACTTTCAACTACACGCAAGATACTGACTGCTCAGAAATACACCACACAACCCCACTGTAAAAAGAAATAATAATAATAAAAAAAGAGTTAAGTCGATTTGTATGAAAACTACAATGGAGTATTAGGACCATAAAAAATAAGGAACAAAGGAGTAAATTTCCACCAAAAAAAACTTCTTTGAAAAGTCAAAATATTTACTAGAAATAATTCAAATTTGGAGATTAATCTCAGAATTTTTCTAAAAAAAAATAAAATTTTTAAATAAAAAAATTATAACCCCCACCCCTGATATTTCTAAGTTTATAAAGTCAAACATTTGCAAGAAGAAATTCAAAATATTTTAGAAATATTTAGAAAAATATTAAAAATAATAATAATAATAAAAAAAACACAAGGAAAAAGTAGACAATTTTAAACATTGAAAAATGTTCCGACTTTGAAAAGTTAAAAACTTTCCACTTTTGAAACTCGGAAATTTCCATGTTTTCCAGAAAATTTGAGGATAATCTCAAAATCTGAGGGCTTTCCAGTAAATTTTAAACTTTTTAAACTCAGAATTATCTGCAATTTTTCTAGAAAATTTATGAAATTAATCTCACAATTTGAGTTTTTGTAGCTAAATTTTAGACTTTTCAAAAGATTTTTGGTCGAAATTTACCCCTTTTTTCTTTCTTTTTAAATCCACAATATCCCTAATAACGCTGCCATAGAAAAAACAAGTCACATGCTCCTTCCACTACCATTATTAACGATCTCTTATTTGGTGACCCCGTCGCCATGGAAACAGGACGAAATGTGCAAGTGAAGCCCACATGAGGGAAAGTGTTTGAACTTTAGAGGCACTGATACGCAAACGTTTGTGCTTTGAGGGACGACTGATTGGCCTTTTAGGAGTCGATGTAGTGAGTTAAAAACTGCGGCTTGATTTGTTTCTGTTGGGTCTCCATAAAAAAAAAAAAAAACGCCACCAGATGGGGGAGATGTAACAGACCAGCTATACAAAAACATACTAGCTACAAATAAGGCATTTTACTTTGAAGAATACAATGAAACTGAGGAGAAATAATATTTGGTGAAAG